TCAACCAAGTTCCGTATCGTGCATTGAAAATGTCTAGGCATAGTGTTATCAAACATGAGAGGATGCCCCTATCTTATTGCCCAACAGGATGTCTTACAATCTGTATATCTCATGTGACACCAATTCAGCGACATTTAATGCAATGCATAGAATGTACCGTTTGCTTGTAGATGTTAAAGGCAGCAATTTCGGATACCGTACACACTGAGTCCTTCGCATAATCATTTACTCACGGTATTGAGGATTACTCGTGGTATGCAGTAAAATTCATAATTATTCAAAATCTTTCAGTAATATTTGTAAATTACCCGAATAGTAATTACTATTGACGGAAAACAGTAAGACTGAATTAAAAGACCTTCGAGTTTATCTATGATCAGGTCCGGATTGGATAGAGTGAACAGAGCTCTAGGGCTGCTTCTGTGAGGTTAGCCTCGCAAAAACGTCAAGAAAGCCTACCCCACCCCCACTTCGCACCTGAACCATAGAGTAATGAACTACACTCCTTTAGTCTATGTCTGACCGCCCTCCGCACCAGCGCAAGCCAAGAGGGTCACCCACTTGACAAGAACTCATTTAAAATAGTACTGGCATTCTGAAAATAATGAAAATATGTTCAAAAGTGTTTCGTTTAGGTGAACTTGTTATTACTTCTGTGTGGCATGCAATTTATTTTAATAGTGTACTCTTTTGGACGTCTTCGAAATTTATACAGTATAACTGTGGAATCACTTTTATCGACTACATTGAATCGGACATTTTAAGATAGATTTCTGATGTAGTGATTCTCAAAAATTCCGACACACCATAGATATGAAATAACGCGCTGTATGTGTATCCATACAAATATTGGAATATTATCGTGAGTTTAGTGAAAGTAGAGTTTCGCACACTGTTACACTTATTAAACCTTTATTCCATCCTATCAGAATGCCAAATACTTAGAAACTCTGCTCTTCGTGAAGTCATAATTTTGCCAAATTGAAGAGCTGAAGGAAGTTGCCCACCTTTGGCTCTCTTGCACTTAAAAATTTCGGTAGGTCTGATGAAACAGCCACACTGATGGAAAAGTGCGTAAATATGAAAGGAAATCTTAGTGAGAAAATTGCTTTTCCGACCAAATAGAGACTATATTCCATGCGATTTGAGAAGTTTGACAGGATACGTCTCTCGTAAAATTAGCCATCCCGCACCCAATTCGTGCCAAGTCTTGATCCAAATTTGATTAAAGTACAAATTTATAATTACATTGGTTAAATTAGAATAACAACCTCTGGAGGTTTAAAAGCAATGAGGTAGAGAAATAGTTATTTTCAGGATTATTGGTAAGTTCTGCAAACAAGTGCAAACAAGTATCAGGCACAGTTACATCACAAGATATTTTAGATACACTGTCACTAAGATGGGGATTTTTGCCTATTGTTTTCCTTCAATGGAAAACGCGATCGTTAAGATTACTTCATTTTGAGGCATTAGGACTATTATTTGTTTAGCTTATAATGCCTATAAATGCCTGTTTCACTAAATATGACTATTTTGTGTTTAAATGCCTAAATGTTATCTATTCTCTTATTCTCGAATTGATTGATCAAAATGTAATTTTCCTTAATCAAACATTTATCCTGCAGAATACAGAGAAATCAAACAACTTTCGATAAACCCATGTTCCGTTTTACTGCCACCAGAGTGCGTTTTTTCGTAAAATGATAAATTTCCATAAAACAAGTGCAAAATCACTGGCAGTAATTATTTTTTACTTGAATTTTTAAACATTTTTTCTCAAAAACTTCAACTTCTTTCTTCAAACTTCAACTTTTTTCTTGAAATTTGCACCTATTATATATCAAAAACGGTATAAAAATTGGTGTCGGTCCCATTTTTCACAAACATTGAATTTTCGAAAATTGCAGAAGTAAAATATTGAATACAGATTACTTTTGTTTTAAATGAAATATATTCTAAAATTTAAAAAAGGCATGTATAAATCTTTTAAACGGGTGGGTTTTGTGGAATTTCCTGCGTGAAATTAAAGCAAATTATTTTTTAAAATTGAAAAAAACTGTTAGACTTTTGTTAAATTATGTGTAAATGAAATATGACGAAAAAGTTCTTACTGTGCAGCATTAGAGTATCGGTTTGCATTAACAAAAAGCTAAAAGGTAACTATTGCTATTTAACGATTTTTGCCCGAATTGGCCAACAATGATAGAAAGGAACTCTACGAGGATTTGTTAGAACAATTAAAAGCAAACATTCCATGAAGGTAACTATATTATGTTTACTTCAGAAACATTTTACACCAGTACATCAATAAGGATAAGAAAAATGTATAGTGCCATTTTAAATGCCTATTTTACATTTTTGAATGCTTATTTTTACCTGCCTATTTTTACAGCTTTTCGTACCTATAAATCCGCAATTTAATTATCGCATTGAGATAATGTAGTCGACCTGGATGGCCGAGGTGACTAAAGCGTGTGATGACTTAGCGCCTCGGTCGGAACGGTCGCTGGTTTGACTCTCGCCGAGGGCATCGTTGTTTGTCCCTGTCTTTCATGTTTGTGTGTTTCTCGCGGAACGTCTTGTGAGTGCTGACCACAGACCAAGGAGCCCGCAAGTGTGTCAATGTCTAGTGTAAAGGTTAATATGTGTCCCCATGAGGGAAATTGTCGGTACCCGGCACGGAGAACCGAAAAATTGGCATCCCCTGAAACTGAGAAAAAAATCACAATCGGATCTGAAATTCTGAAAACGAAATGAATTTGAGATGCATATCACTAGTTAACGAACTTGTTGATTGTACTTGTTGGAATTGGAGTGTATAGATCACAAATACATACTTTTATTAATGAAGCTCAAAAACATAAATACAAAATTAAATAGAAATAAAAACACGTTAAAAATTACTATGACTGTGGGGTCCATACAAAACAGCTATTTGTTCACTCTTGTTCAGTTTACTTACTTGTTAACCTCTAGTCCTTCTTTTTTCATGAAGGGGATCAATCCAGGAGAGCCTAGAGGCCCATACGCACACACTGTGATGTCGAGAGCTCTGCAAAATGCCACGAGCTCTTTTTGTTGAAAGTAAATGTGGACTTCGATTTGATTGTTGGCCGGAAGAATGCGTGCGTTTTTCACCACACGTTTTACTTGACGAGCATTGAAGTTGGATAATCCAATGGATTTCGTGCGACCCGCATCGACTTGAGCTTCCATCGCCTATAGTGACAGAAAAATTAAAACATACTTTTTTAGCGTAGTTTGACAGATTAAAAATTTGAAATGAAAGTTTACCCATCTTAAGCTTTTCTTCAATACTGTCGTTTGAGGTTATTGAAAGTACACTGAATACATATTTATGAAAACGATGTATCGTGATTTCTACGTTATTTAAACAAGTTAGTCTACTTTACGATGAGATTTCTACGTTCCTACGTGTTACGACGTTTTAATCAGGAAGGAAGTTCCGTCTCTCCAAGCAACCGAAATAATGTATAGCGGTTAATTTAATTTGAGTTTGTTTTGATGAATAAAAATTCTGGGCTTCTAAGACAGCGTTTAGGTCAAGTTGTCCCACCTGCTCCCTCCTCTGGGCGCCACTGAGAAACACTAACGTGATTGTTTATAATTATAAATGTAAAAATATAATAATATAAATAAAATAAATACAAAATACGCATATAATATATAATGTATATATAATAAAATCAAAATTTAAAAAAACTATTAACAAGTTCGCGAATGGGTATCTTATGCGGCTGCAGAGAGCCAATGGCCAAGCTAGAATAAATTAAAGTTAAGAGTGTGTTTTTAGTGTTGTAGAGCCATTTCCTGATAGTGAATAAATGATCAGCGACATTGTTCATCATGATCATAGACAAAATTTTAGAGAATCACTACTGTTGCAGTGGCTCAAAACTTTGCGGACCAAACACACATTCATACATTTTTATTGTTTTCCATTTTGTTATCACCCTCTGATTTATGGTGCCCGCATGGTTTTGTTTGCGAAATATGTGTAATTAAGAGTATTGTATATAATATTATTTTTACTAAAACTCTTTGTGAAATTTATTCAGAATAACTATTATTATATCTTCATATAAATTACCTTCCACAGAGAAACATGATCCGTTGTTGGATCAATGAGAACTTTCCCTTTGTCGTCACAAGGCGTCAGCTCATCACCTTTTTCTATCAGACCTCCAGGGTGATGAATGAGATACAGATCGACGTACGACACTTGCAAGGCTTCTAACGATTTTTTGAGATATTTCTCCACAGATTCCGCTCGATTGCCGACGTTTGGGAGCTGTAAAATAATGGAATTTTAACATTCAAAAATATTTCAGAAAGCATAAGAAACATACTCCGGAAATGGGTATTTTATTTCGGAGTCTATTTTTAAAAGTGAAATGACTAAGGAGCATCACTGACGGCTATTTATATTTTGAAGTATTCTATTTTGACTAAAATAATATTGATTATCGTGTCATATGTGTCTTGCAATGATCTTCCTCTCGTATTCCACAATCATTATTTATTTAGTCGAACAAAGAACCTTGATATGACTTTGATACGTATCTCACATGGCAAACGAGATGCCGGAGGATCCCTTACTTGCAGCATTCTATGGTATCGTCAGGGTACTCTATCATTCTCCAAGAAGATTACAACTATTTTGTGTGAAGTAGGTAGCTTTGAGTGAAGTGCCATGATAAAATATTTCCATATGTTTATAAAAAACTTCTCTTTAAATGTTGTGTACTTGAAGATTCTATGCTTTTCTATTCTTTAAAGAGGGTTTGATTAGAAGTATTAAAAATATTAAATAGAAATACTATTTAAAATTCTATAACATTTTCATTGTATTGTTGAGAACCAATGTATACTTTGAACTCTTCCCTAAATTTAGTTTTCTACATCATTTCAGGCTGTATTGTATTCTTTAAGGAATTTGTGATGAATTTTTTCTTTTAAAGTTCAGTACTTTTTGATTCTCCATGTTTATTTTCAACAAAAGGGAGATTCTGGGTTTGCAAAAAGGGATTATTTCGATGTACAATATAAATTACCCGAAAAAGACAAGTTAGAATTGTGATTGCAGCATTAATTTAAAAGAATCTATTAACAACATATTATGGGGCTTAATTTAAAAGCGATGTGAATATAAATAAATGAAAAGAAAAGGAACAAACAAAAAATTCGGTTTTATTGTATTTCAGATTATAAAACTGGTTGCCTTGCGTTGTGAGTTACGTCTTTCAACGTACGTGTACCGTTACGAATATTTTTCTAGCATAGTTTGGAATTGGCAAGGCTCTGCTTTACATGCTGGGTAATGTTACCTTCGTGACAATGAACACTTCCTCTCGCTTGAGTTTTCCGGCGTCGAACCATTTTTTCAGAGCTCTGCCGATGGCCGATTCATTGCAGTAGAAGGTGGCGGTGTCGATGTGGCGGTATCCGGCTTGCAGAGCCGCATCGACTGCTTCTTCCATCTCGGTGTCGGTAGCCTACGAAACAACCCTTCTCAACCACTGGTTTCCAAAACGACCTTCTGGATGGACCTCTTTCGGACTGTGTGGATCTCCTGGGGGTCTATGTGGATCCCCGGGGCCTGTTGTGGACCCCCCGCCCCCCGAGATCATATATAAGTTTGGGAATATCTGTTCCAAATTACTTCTAACAACTCTCCCAGTTATAAAACAATCTATGTCAATAATGTGGAATGGAACTAACATAGTTTATCTATCATTTTGTATATTACATGGCAAACTAAATTCGAATAACGATTCCTTAGTCATTAAATAATTCTCACAAGCGAACGTCGGCATTGAAATGCCACGTCTGGGCGCGGAAGCCTTGCGAATTATCATTTGGTAATAATTGAAACTGTCCATTAACGTTAGACTAATTCTCAGAGACGTGTCAGATTGCATTTCGTTACAAAATATTCTAACAATGCAAGGTTATAATTACACGGGTACTTTCTAAATTCCCTTCGTTCCCAATTATCCACGTTGCTTATTGTCTGTTCGTCAAGTGATCTGTCCCAATCAGTGGTGGCCGATGGGTTGCGAATTAGATGGGTACCATGCATGTTCGAACAATCCCATACATTTTGTCTCTTCGGAATTTTTCTTTGGCGAGGGTAAAGTATAGCATGTAGTGTATGGCCGACTTGCAAGCAACGGGATTTTAATCCTCGTTTAAGATATTTACATTGATAAACGCAGGTGTTTATCGTGAACCCGAAAATATATATTTGAAAAAATACTACAATACACAACAGTAATTTATGAAATCAGATGAACGGGTCGATATTCGTAGCTTAGTTAATAGGCATAGACTCTGCCGAACGAATACCTAAAATCAATATGCTTACCTCACGAAACTCCTAGAATCCCCAATCTACCTCATGCTTTCATTGCCTAGCATGCATCGACTATGGTCGGCGATGCAATAGTCCGCAATACGACCCATTTTAAAAGCATTAATCATTTGCTTACACGGGTGCATGGAATTAAATTCATCCTCAAAACTTGTCCTAGTGAAATGCACAGCAGAAACGAGTCGATTTAGTGTAACACGTTCTGTAATTTATTTTTCTGGGGAGGGACGATCCCTTCGAGGGAGCAGCGTCTCTCGCCTCGAGTCTCCCCAGTCTTCTTTCCTCCAGCTTTGCCGGCCCTGAATTTTTCCACTGTCCGTAATCAGGAGAGCGTGGCGTGTATGCAGAACGCGTGGAATAAAACCTCTTCCGGGATCAGGTCCGTCTCTCGAGGCGTAGAAAGGATATCTCTGCCGTGACTGGCTACATACTCTGAAGTTTGAATGGTATAATTACAGTTTATTTATGTAATGACTTATTTATTGGGGTTCAGGGCCCAATGGGTTTACGTCCATGAGAATCAAGATTGTTGATCTAATGAGCAGGAGATAGTGATGGCGAAATGATGAAATGAATGTTAGGGGTAACGGGAGGGCTTCTAGAAAACCTGCTGAGTGCTCTCAAAACCCACCACAAATTTCACTTCACAATTGCCGGGCCAAAACCCAGATCTCAGCAGTGGAAAACGCATGTGATAGCCATTATGCCACAATCTCTATATTCAGTTAACAGGGCAATGCCAATTTTTTTGTCTTGATTCCATACGTATAATTTGAGAACGGATTTTTTTATATTGCGTAATTAAATTTGATGTTTTTGTGCATAATGTGATGTATGTGATTTTTCGACAGGAAATCACGAGCCTACGTATTTAAGAGGATTAAAAAACAGGTTTAACTTGCATGACATCCCTACGATATTTTCAAAATTGTCTCAACAATGGCTCCAAATATTTTCTTTAAATTTTTTGCTCGAATAGACAGTAAAACTGATTTAGGTTCGATTTGCATTGAAACCTCTGAAATTTTGAAAATTGCCAAAGTTAAACTACATTAAAAACTTATCTCTTTGTGGGTGTTGTGGGTAGCATATTAGATGATTATACCAGAGTTCTCGAACTATTGTATGCGAACCCCAGGGGCTTCTTGAAGAAACCTTTTTGAGCCTGGGTGTACAACTTGCATGAGAAGCTTTGAAGAAGAAATGAAGCAAGTCTGAGTATGTTCTGAATTTTTTACGCGAAAATGTCTGTCCGTGCATGCACGAACGAGGGTTTTACGAAATACCTTTGTAGATTGTTAGTTCAGCATGGCAACTCTGATTTAAGATGTAAATACTAATGTAAGCTTGAAGAGCTTGTGAAGTATTAACACAATCTAAACTAAAACAAAAATAATTTCTGAAATAAAAGATAAAATGTATTTTATCATAGTAAATATCTTAAAATAATTCACGATGACGTCATATAATAATAGATAATATTATCGAAATTTTAGAAAACGCCATTCAGAGAAAATCTAACATTGAAAGAAATGTAAAAATGTTCCATAATTCCGCTCCGGAGTGAATGCAAACGCTAGTGCAACGACGGAAACGAAACGCGGTAACGGAAGAAGGGGTACCCACCTGTTAGGCAATTGGATGTTCGGAGGCCGTCGACTGGTTAATCATCTGCGGATGGTGACACGACATCGTTTGGAAGCTGTTGCACTACAATTAGGGTTGCCACCTCTCCGGTTTTAGACCGGAGACTCCGGTTTTTGAGCTTCATTTCCGGTCTCCGGTAAAACCCATCGAGCATGTCCATTGAGGTTGAGGACGATAAATGTGAAGGAATTAAAATGCTTCCGGTGAAGACATATTTCTAACTTTTTACAGCACCCTATAATTGTCGTAGAACGCAAGTAGAAAGGTTTCCAATGCAGTGCAGACCGATTTGAACAAAATTAAGAATTCGAAGAAACCAGCCCTAACTTTTGAGGAGAACGCTCAAGACCGACCTTGCAGAATGCAGTGAAGACCATATAAGAAGGAATATCATAAGCCATGAAACGGAAGACATCATAATGCTATGTATTTATCGAACAGAATATGCGAAATTTTTCAGGCACTCAAGTGTCATAGAAAAGTTGCCAGAAAACAGCTCTCAAAAGCTCCGAGTCATCCTGAAGACACATGATGATGAATCTTCCTGGAATAAAAAGAAGAGGAAGGGATGTGTTGAGGTTATCTTCAGAATATGTGCCGCCTAATAATAATACAGATATTTCATTTTCAGTCAGTTGACGACGCAGCATTGGAAAAAGCACCAGGTATACTGATGGAATTTCCAAACCTTTTCCTGAAGTATTTCCCCCAGTTACTGCATGCGTTCTGACTAGGTTGTCAAGCCGCAATTGAACAATCACTTCCGGCGTCTTTGTGCGGAAGGATTTTCGTTGTGATAGTCTAGCGATTCTGCCTGAGCTCAGACAGTTATAGCTCTAAAGAAGGCCGACCAGGCAGATGGCCCGAAGCACGGTCTGCCACAATTGACCAGACGCGGCTCAATACCCGGATAGCAAGAATGTATTAAGTGCCAGTGACCGTACAGAATCGCCTTAACTTTCCATCTCTGGGTGCTGGGATTTAAATCTCAGGGGAGTTATTATTGCAGAAAATTGTGGTGGGCAAAAGAGTATTAGCCCCACGTTTTCTCGCTTTTTTCGCTTTGTCCCTCATTTCATATTTCTCCATCATCGCCTTCATCTCTTCACCGATAGCAAAACCATTCATCTCGTATAATGACCGAAAGGCTAAGGCAAATAGGATCATAATAAAGGATAAAGAAATCTATCATCATTGCATCTCTCATCCACACCCTCCCCGATGTTCTGCATTTTCCTCGGACGTGGTCGGTTGCCACCATGGAACAAACACCGAGGGCATTGTGTGGTTGCGAATTCGTTCTCATCGCAGCATCAATCAATCTCTCACCCATTTCCCATTTATCATTCGTACAATTGTATTAGGGTTGCCACTTGCCAATTCCAGAAACCGGAGACCGCTGCGACCGGGCGGGGGGTAATTACTGAAATCTAAAAGAAAATTGACGCAGACTTTTAATTTTATTTCTATTAAAATATATTTACATATCGTTGGTTTCTAGTGATTCTATAAAATTAACATTTAATTCAAGTAGTGTTACACTTCTAACAGTTACTTTTTTCCAGCTATACTTTTCGGTTGCTTCAGAGCTTTTTTTAGCAGAGATAATTGCTCAGGGTTTTTTAAGATCCAATGATATTGATCACGAAGTCAAGTCGTAGTTCAAATTTTAACAAATAACTCAGATTTTTACGACGCTTAGATTTAATTTGTTTCGATCTATCGCGTCCAAACGTTAAACAGGTTTCAAGGACAGAGTTCTGATGAAATAGAAAAAAGCTTTAAATGTTAAGTTAAAAAATTCTATTTATTTTGTAAAAAAATTGAAAATGTATTGAAATTGATAAAAAAGTGATAATTTTCAAAAAA